GTCCCAACCGTAAATGCTGTGCCGCAACTTACGGCAAAAGCACAACATAAAGAAACTTGCAAGGCGCAAGTTGACATGTGACTGTTCCTTCGCCTTGAAAAGGACCACCTGTAGCCAAAACTATCCACAAATATTTTGAGAAGCAATGTAGAGAGTACATTCCACTACTTATACAACAACATAACCTCGTTTCATCGAGTGAAGACTGGCTTTGCTATGTTAGCAAAGAACGAAAAAAACGACAAGAGATGCTAGATGGCTCTATCAAGCTGAAAAGTGAGAACGCCAAACTCGAAGCATCTTCGGATCTGGTCGCTTATCAGATAGCGAACATACTGGTAAGTATAATTACAGAACGCGGACCTAGAGCGGCCGATGCTGACTGGGTCTCCATCCAGATCGCCGTTACGGCCGGCGTGATACCAATCCAGGTCCGACCGCATGGGATGTGTCGGCCTGTGATACCTCATCGAAACTGGCATGTCCTTTTTCATCGGTATTCTGCCCCTCGTGCGGGCTTCCTGTTATGAATTTGTTAGGTGTAATCTGGATGCGGTGGCGCAGGGGTTATCTTCTTAATTCGGTTAGGTCTAAGGCAACGGGATTTAGATTTGTTCAGGCTGGAAATTTGAATTTGTTCTTTAGTTCTAACAATTTTTGTTTTTTGTTTTTTGGATAATTTGCTTATTGGGAACTCGATATTCTGATATTTTGATAATATGATAATCTGAACATATGAATTCGTAACTTTGATAATCCGAGCCTCGATCACCTTCATTTGTCTTCTCGTAATCAATTTGCACATTCGCAACTTTGCAACTTTGGTACTTCGATAATTTGTCTTTGTCGAAATCGACTCAAACTCAGCAGCTTAACAGCTTCGAAAATCTGCCAATGAGTGGATTCATAACACTTCTGCCTCTTCAACGATTCTGGTATTGCTACCATTCACAAGCCTCATCGATCAATCGAACAGTTCAAACGCTGTTTAGGCTTCCATGCCACCAGTGGCTGCTCACGCGCGCCAGCCTGCTGGAACTGCGAATATACCATGCAATTGGCTTCCGAGTGCATGGCCCTCTCGAAGTGTCGCAACTGTAGGGGGACCCCACTGATCGGATTCTCGGGATTACCCAGTCATACCCAGAAAGTTTGGACCGGTGACAAAAGAGCAGCTTGCGTGGATTCACCACATCGAGCAAGGGGAGTTTTCAAAGCTGGCTAGAGCTAGGGCTGCAGCGAAAAAGGCCGTCGAGGCAATAATCGTCGCGGCAAAAGATGTCTCGATAGCCGAGGCTACAGGTTTCGCAACGCTGGAATCTGATGAAGAAGCTTGAGGGCACAGCGACCTCGACGATGCCTATTTTGCGCATCTATTAACCAAGAGCAGGATACTGGCTGGATCAAAGGTGCCTGCTAACCCATCTCTTGCTCTCAGCGGAGATTGGGTAAATTTGACACATGGAAGGTGTGACGGACGATGGAATATGTGAGGAGCATATTGCTTGGGTCTAATAGGGAGGAACCTTCTGTCTTTCAGTATTGTTTTGATTTTCGGGTTTTTCCGTTTTTGTTTAATCAGCTGCACTTTGGCAGCGATTCACGGGGCTGGAATGAATTAGGCTGCAGGAAAATTAAAGGGAGCCCTGACAGCTCCACAGGTCCTGCACCCATATTGGACATAGAGCTATAGCTTAAGACCAATTGATTTAAAAATGTTGTAATGGAAGTTGTATATAGAAGCTTAAGCTGTTAGGCTTGTATTTAATATCACCTAGTGAAGCGAGTTGGGATATTGAAGAGTCTGAAAACTATAGTAGAGAGTTGTTGATTAAACCCACTTAGTATCAGAGCGCTATTTAAACTAATTACTACATCTAAGTGAAGGACACAATTCACTTGTTTATGCTAAATAATTGGGAGCCTGGTCAATGTATGAGTCGTCATGAATGTGGCTTGTAATAATAGAACCTTATCACGTTCCGTATTAATGCGATTCTTCATTGCCAAGTAGCGCCAGAATCAACAAAAAAAACATTGTTTAGTTAGCCGACCTGTCCTTCTCTTTCTATAGATTACAGTCATATTATTTTATTGCCTTTCGTTTACACGCGTATACCATATTGTGCCAATAGGTTCCTCCAAGTGTATGATCGAGTGAGGACTTGTGAGGGGAGTCATAGGAGGGGATATACTACTGGCATAGGTATCCTTGGTCTGTAGGCAGAGAGGGACTTCGTATCCTGCATAGTCATAGACTCAGACAGGACAATAAAATCAAGTAATAATGATAAAAATTGTTAGAACTTAGAATAATTGGGGCTATCAAGTAGGCAACGTTGTTGATACACATGTGACTACAAATTCTGTGCTAAGTTTCACCTCGGTAGTTACTTGAATCAACGCGCTCTACAACCTCAATGACTGAGGGTTCATTATTTCCTTGATAATAATTATAATTGGGCTGTATACCAAATCACCTAGATGTACCAGGCGGTAACTGTTTTGAATTTTTGTAATGGGTTTTAAAGGACAAACCCTTGTGTAGAGCTCTGGAAGACCAAGCCAATTGACGAAACCAAGAGTCCCCTCCCAGGTACCTAGGAGGCGCTTTTCTGGGTCACAGCTAGGTACCGGAGCTCCATAGCTATATAGCTGCATACGCAATTAAAATCTGATATAAAAACAAAAGGCTATGGGCACGTGCCAAAGAACACCTCTGAGGTTATAAGTTCCTAGGATGATGCGGTGGTAAAATGTGGATATACGAAAATCGTAGGTCAACAGTGTCTCTTGATTTCTGCTATATCTTCTATATAGTGAAATCTTAAGACGGTGTATGACTGTCTTCTAGAATTACAAGATGTGTCTAGTATATACAGATTTGTAGCGGGGGACTATTCTCAACACCTGTCAGTGGTGTCCCCTACGAACCTCCAGCTCTCACTGTAGAGTCTGCAGAGCCGAGATTGAGTAACAAAGTCCTCACTTCGAAGAGGATTCCCAATCGCTTTCGCTATCAGATGGTAGGGTCGGAGCCCTACTCATCACCAAACCTTGATCACGGAGGAAAAGCCATCCAATGAGTTTCCGGAGCGTACCCAGCACCCGATACGGAGATGGCGGATTGGATCAAGTCGACCTCGACTGTTACAAAGAAGGGAGATATAGATGAATGTGCGCACCTCATGTGGTCCCGGTGTCTAGGCCTCGCCTGGCTGGGGCTGCAGGTTTTTTGAGACTTTTACCCGCGCACGCAGTTTCCATTGCTACCATTTTATTTTTTTTAGGTAGAAGGTTCCGTGGAAAAGGTGGCCGAATTCCACGGGTAAACACTGAGCTGAATGGCTATTTATCAAGGGGAATATATCAATGATCTTTCAAGTAACAAAAGAGGATAGGAGCACTGTACAAGGTGTGGCCTGAGTCAGAGAGGAGCCCAATGTGCTAGATAGTCCTAGACCCAAGTAGTACAATAAAAACACACAGATTTGTAGATTAGCGTGCATTATGCATAAAGACTGGGGTACACGCGACAAATTATAATACAATGTTTATGATTAGGGATCCTCACCTCCGCGACCCTAGATATTTGTTGTCTAACGGATTTTTTACGCCTAATTCTCACTGCAAATCAACAAGACTTACCAGAAGGTAATCGATCTTGAAAAATTCGTGTGTAAAAATTTGACACAGATCTTTTTGATTCTTTTTTCATGTAACAGAAAAAAACGGCATCTGTACCTAATATAGAGAATCCCCAGTCGGTGCTTTGAACTTTGCTTGTGGTTAGCAGCCATCCAAACTAGATTTCGCTCGATACAATAAATAACTATGTTAGTAACTATGTAGACTAAACGTGTAATTGAGCCAACTGAACTTTGCAGTGTAACTTAGACGCAATGATACTGAACTAGCCATCGGCAATACGTTCTCTCAAGAGTAGTTAATTGTTTGTTTGTTTGTTTTCTATTTTTCGTCCGTCGGGGCGCCAAGCTTGACTTAGGTCCCTACTACCCACTAAACTACCTAGAGGCATGGACGCCAGTGCTTACTGCCCTGGTGGCATCGCCCTTGCTACATTCTAACTAGGTTTGTAGGGCAATTCTCTAATTACATGATTGCGTGTAGCATAGCACCTGCACTTTTTCAGCCAGTCCCCGAGGCTCTTTACTCATTTGATGTATAACAACCACTCTCGAGATACTACTAATAGATCGATTTATAAATACCGCACCATCCATCCATAATGCAAGGCTCAGAGTTGGGGCAGAGTTGAAGACCTATTTATTTCATCTCTGGGGTTTCTAGGGCAGGTCTTTATGTAAAACTCTGAAATAGAAAGCCACTTTGCTACACGTAGGGCCCCTTCCCAGGTTCCTGGCAAAATTTTCTTTGGGTCCCTTGAAGATGCTGGAGCTCGAGGAGGTCTATGAGCGGTTAGGTGGCACTCTAGGAAGTGCAATGGGGCTTTGGGCCGTCCGTAGACACAATGAAGGTTAGCGCCCTCGTGATTGAAACGGCGGTGGTACTCTGCAAAGTCACCATGTCCTGAGCGGGCAAGAGTAATTAACTGAGGTTAGCTCTTCTGCAAATTGTAGTGTTAGGATGACTCATCTCACGTGATATACTGTAACAGCACCTATTTATTTTTTGCATTAGATATCAAGGAAATAATGAACCCTCAGTCATTGAGGTTGTAGAGCGCGTTGATTCAAGTAACTACCGAAGTGAAACTAAGTACAGAATTTGTAGTCACATGTGTATCAACAACGTTGCCTACTTAATAGCCCCGATTATTACAAATTCTAACATCAGATTTTAATTGCGTATGCAGCTATCTAGCTATGACACAATATCAAAAAAAGTACATAATAGATGTGTCAATATAGAGGAAGAGCACTCATGCTTCGGATTGTAGTAGCACATAATAAGTAGCAAATCACCACACAATGAAATCTTCATGTCCTTTCACTATACAAATAATACTGTTTAAAAATTTAAAGATATTTACTCCTGAGAGCTTGGCTAATAGTGCTCATTCGACTAGCCATTGCCCCGGCTTGCATGTTGCTGGCTAAGGCTTCCTCTAAGGCGCTTTGCGTTACGGAAGAATCTGAAACAATGAGACTTTTAAACGACACTTGGAAAGGAAAAATACCATCTAAATCACTGAAACTACTTCCGATACTAGGGGTGCTATCATTCTTTTCTACACTTTTACCTTTTGCACCAGAAGTTGCGATATCGGCTTCTGACGTCCACTTACTAGAAATACCACTTCCATATTTTTTGGTTGCCTGATTGTACAATGGACCTCTATTTTTGGGAGAAAGCGCAGTTATCTTTGAAGATGGTGGTTGTTCTACGGCTCTAGTAATAGATGAAGGTACTTGATCGCTGTCATTTCGGATATGACTTGTTGCGACACATTTTGTTTCTCCTTGGACTTCGTTTATTGGTGGTGTATAAGGCAGAAATGCTAAGTCATCGTCATCTTCATCTGCAAGTTTTCGGCCTATTGAGTTACTTGCGTACGATAATTTTCGATGCCTTGATGAAGTAGGTAGATGCAAGTCAGAATCTGATAGTGAATCTGAAGAGTCTTTCTCAGGGGCATATGTTTTGAGGCGGGGTATTTTAATGACCCTAGACCTACTCTGTAGTTTTTGAACAATTGTTGTTCCTACGGAAGGAGTTGCCGGCTCTGCGTTCTGGTAGGTGGTAGTCGTGTTAAAGATCAATGGCTGGGATGTCGAAGGCCCTGAAAATCTTAGTTCAAGTTATGAAATTTTCTGAATAAGACCCTCACAGTTTCCGTATTTTTGATTCTCAACAGTACCATTGCTTACTATAGTGTCTTTTCTTTGGTAAGGGCCTGTTAATAGGTTTTGGTCTATATAATATCAGTTTCATTTAGTAAATAAATGGGCGGACAATACTCCAACCTGTTTCCACAGCTACCCTTCTATCATCAGACTTACTCCCTAAATGAACAGGAGCTATGGCTGTTCCTGTCGATAGTCTAGCTTTGCGCATTTGTGCCTGTACTTGTTGCATTTGCCTTTCATAAAGCCAGGCTACTTGTTGTAATAGAAAAGGTAGGGGGACTCGAAATTCGGCAGCTCTAGATTGAATTAGCTATAGCTCAAGCTACTTTCCAGACTTACAGCTCATTCCCTACCATGGTTAGCTAGGGCAACATCGATCCAACAGGGGCATACAATCAATTGCGGATACTTTTGATGCATTCGAGATAATCTTCCATAGTTGTTTATCTTTAACGGCATCCCAATCGACCTGAATGGTTAGAAAATCCTTGAAACCTTGGGTCACTCTCACCGGAGGAGGATCTACAAAATCTTTGCGGGGAAATGGTAATCTTATGAAAACAGTAAAGGAAGAGTTGTGGACAGACATATTCTTCGTATGATAGTAGCGAAATGCGTGATTACGGTCAATTAAAAGATATCATTGCCATTCGCGTTTGAAGTCTTCATAGTATTGAATGGTTACATGGGCCTGCACCCGAAACGTCATTCCGCTATGACGATGGCCAAGTTTGAATGAATGGATTTCTATTCGTGACGGGCACACGCCTAACACTCTTAGAGCATGACAATGAGAAGGCTATTACTTCATTCACAACTATATACGGGAATAACTCAGTTTGACGTTTGGATTACTCATGTAGTGGGTGCATTCACTGATACCACTCGAGACCTTGGTGCTAGGAACCCTAACTCTTCCATCAACCGTGAATATCCACCAAGGGAAATGACGACCAGGAGGCGGACCAAAACACCTTCCATCTTTGCCAGTTTTTAGAGTGTCGGCAGCACTATCCCAAATCGTTGCCTCGGTGCACACAAACACCCTTAAGTCGAAAATACTCGAAAAATGTGCGTCCCAGTATGCCCATTTGTGACCTCTTCACTCGCTCGTCCCACGTTCCAGCTGCATGTCATCCTTCAAAATGTGAAGCCTTATTAGAGCAATGGTTCCCCATGAACCAAGACCGGAGCTTTGTATTTTATGAATTAAGTCCAAATTTGATTTGATTTTGATATCTTTAACGTGACACGAGTAGATTGGCCCTGTAGGCTCATTGCTACCTACATGACCGACAGTAAATCTAGAAGTGACAAAAAGAAAGAAAAGAAAATATTACAGTGAATATGTACGTTTCAGGTTTCTTCCCCGCATCTCTTTCTTCCGAATATATCGCCTCTTGAGTTAAAACAGTCTCCGCATGATCACCTCCGATCATGTTATTTTTTTGGCAGACTGTGGCATATACCAGTAGTTAGAAATCGGAAAATCTTCTGCCATCTAATCCCCCATAATAATTCCCGGGCTCCATGTGGAGTCATTTTCTCGCAGATTCTCCAAAGTTGCAAAGCAGGTCAGCACTCTGAAATGCTAGGCCCTTGTCTTGTTGAAATTGGCGCTACTTGGCAACGAAGAGCCGCATTAACATGGAACGTAAAAAGATTGAATTCATATTTGCCACGTTCATGGTGACTAATTTATTGATCAACCTTCCTATTATCTAGCATAAACAAGTGAAACGTGACCTTCCCTTAGTTGAAATAACTGGTACAAATTGCGCTCTTATTGAAAATCACCTCATTTCTTAGTGAATTGAATTGAGTTGATTAATTTAACGTATCAAATTGAAGCCCTACATCCAGGAGGCTCGACACGGGAGCGTGTCTCCGGAGAACCCACAACTACTATTGAAGCTAACTTTATATAGCTAAGAATATACATGAATGAGAAAAAACAAATATATAGAGGAAATTTTCAATGCCCTGAATCGGCGCCTAAATAGCTTTCTTATTACAATTTGCCTGTATTATTTGTATCCCAAAAGACCTCCATCTCTCCAGTTTAACTTTGCTCCCCGTAACATCCCGTCACGGTGAGAAATCGATAGAATTCTACCCACCCTTTCTCTCCTAACAGTGTAAATCAACTTGGCGATGATTCCTTAGTTGTTCTTCGCCATTGATTTAGCGCCATTCAGAATCCCGAAAAATGCCACGGGCGCCTTCCTCGGCCACATTTGCACCTGTAACCTATTTCCTCGTGGTGAAACCTTTTATGGTATTTGGAGAAGTTTCAATAACCAGTCCTAGCTGCTATCAGATAATGATACGCCCATCTTGGGAGAGCTAGCTCTCGTGGACGTTTTAGTTTCATCAGTAAATCTGGGTCTTTGTATCGACTAGTATTGAAATGTATAACCCACTACTTAGTTCATGGACTTATTGGTAGAGGGAAGCTTATGCAATAATGAAGGATAAAAGGATGTCATTTCGACTACCCTATCAAACACAGGTACCGGAGGGCAAGACTGAACACCTGTACGCGGTGTCCTCTACGAACCTGGGAGTGAAATATTCTCCCAGAGCCAAGTTCAGTCAAATTTCGCAATATCAAAGAAGTTGGCCCACGAGGCAAAAATTCAAATTACTCCACCATGTCAATCTTTCACTCCCAAAGAGTCCGATTCTCAACTAAGCTTCATCAAGTCTACAAGTACGACCTAGTACATCCTCGTTTCAATGACCACACCTCTCGTCGACTTTCTCTGGCCTCAGCTGGTTACCAAATACACGCCCACGCCGATATTTATACCCAACGGAGGAAGCAAAGCGTGGAGCACAATTTTGGGAGATAGCTCTTTGGGACGGACGTGAGAGGGATCAGGACAAGTTCACAAGATGATGCAGAAGAGGGATACGTTTTCGACGGGCGTGGAATTTTGAATTTTGGCAAGAGTTTTACGAATTGGGCTTTGTGCGCGCCAAGACTTCGCTTGCGAGAGTGCAGCTGACATTATAAAAACAAGCAAACGATGGAAGGTGTTGTGGTCCGCCTCCTGGTGATGTTCTCTGGTATGGTTTGAGTAGCCTGGGCACCTACTCCACTTGGGAAGGAGACATCTCAGATTACATTTCGCGCGGAGAAAAGTTGATGGATGACAGAGGCATGTCTGGATAACTCAGGGTTTTTGAGACGTTTCCCTGGGTGGGTATTCACGGATGAGGGTTGACTTGGGGTGAAGAAAAAGCCACCATAACTTCGCAGTGGTACTTGCAAATGAAATCCGAGGCATGAGTGCTCCTATTATAAACTGAGTCATCTTTTCTGTACTTTTCTCTGATATTGTGTCATAGCTAGATAGCTGCATACGCAATTAAAATCTGATGCAAAAAAAAAAAAAAAAAATACAGGTACCAGACTCCTTTTAATCCCAATAGATAGCCCGTGCGGGATCTCCTATTAACAGCAGTAAACAACGCTAGCACGGGGTGTACGTAATCTCCGTTCGCTAAACACCAGTCGGTTGAGACTATTTATTATTGTGCATAGTAGGATTGACATAGTGTATCCTAACACAGAAATCATATAAATCATAGAAAACTCAACAACCAAACCCTTCATCAATAACTTCCATTAACTGAAATTAGTTCCGGAGATTGTAAGAATTACACACTAGTCTCGAGTTTGATTTAGTGATACGATAAATGTGTTTACTACACAAAGAAGTTTACTGATATTTAATGGATATTTAACTGTGGTTAAATTACTATAATTCTATATGTGTGGCAAGAAGTCCCTCTATATACATGAAAGCGGGGTTTTCCGCACACCAGTGTCAACTCCAATATACTTCCTAATCTAACCTAAATGGGAAGGTTGTTGGAGATCCTGAAGCCAATGTATGCTGTCAGGCATCTATTGGCTAATTACTATTCATGCCAGTGAGTGATGATATGGGTTAACCATATCTCATGGCGCCAGTGCGTATTATTCTAATATGTATTATTTATCTACTGCAGTCATGTTGCTGCCTTAATTACAACACCATTAAACATCACCTGACTTATCTCTGTACTACATACCTTCAACAGCTCTGATACTAGATGGTTTTGATCAAAATTCTCTACTGTAGCTCAAAATCTTGTCATCCTCTCACCCAGACCTCTACTTGTCCATTATAATATGTCCCGGAAAGATCCTTAATCCGGTCTAATGACCCCAGCCTCGTGTCGTCATCGTTAACGCCCTCCAATCCTGGATAGCAACTCAATCCAAGACTGTTAGATATTTCGGATGCAAACCAGAAATCAGAACATGAAAGAAAGGAAATATATGGCCTCGCCTAAGAGTTCCTAATATTGATTGACACTTGGGCCAAAACCAAAGCGGAAACAAACGCGTCGGCAATGCTGACATCGCTCATGGCAAATATATCGCCCGTCGTGACTAATTTTGAAACAGGCTCAGGGGAGACCTGAGAGACACTAGCAAGTTCCAAAATCCCCCATAAAATCCTTCAAAACAAACGATACACAAGTCAAAGATCATTCATGCCATACATTGCAGTGCTATACCTGAAAGGACTTCGTAGATGTTGGTAAAACACGAAGTAATACAAATTGGGTGCCGTCACGAAGTCGGTGAATAATGTCAATTAATTGGTATCTCGATATACATAAAACGTTGTCTCTCCCTTTTCCTTCTCCATCTCCCCTTCCTTCCTCTACTCCAAGCGCCTCACTAATGAGCTAAATCAGACCCCTGCCAGTGTCCTAACGACAACCTGAATACCGCAAATACATTGAACAATTCACACTACCCAAATGTGATCCTTTTACCGACAGCAGAACACATCGCTTTGGGTTACAGTAGTTCGAAAAGCAGCCAAGCTGTCTGATCCTCATGCCTCTCCATGTCAGGATCGTTGGCTTAGTTCGGAGGACACGGAGGCAGAACAGGGTATAAATTAAAGCTTATAATAAACGGATCAATCAAAAGTCTAGAATAATTACAAGACAAAAAGCTACAAAACAAATTCAGTCATAGACCTTCCTTATGTACTTAAGAGTGTCTACTACAATCAAGGGTATAGTAGTCTACCGCTATAACATAGCAACTGATTGCTATGTTGATTAGTGACTGTTTGTTACGGTTTGACCGTGGTTTGGCTTAGGTGGAGACCTAAGCGGAGTTTGGGGGCGTATTAGGGAGAGTGTTACATGTTATCTTGTATCAAGCGACTAAGTTTCACTTGGCCACATTACATTGGAGCTAGGAAGGAATGTGAGACGGCGAAGCAGAATTGCCAAGTGAGAGAGTCAGCTAGATGGCAAAGATGACGACGGGCAGTGGCGGAGCAATATGTCATTCTCACCAACAGAGTACGTACTGGATGAGCTAGAAGGGTGTAAAAATAGTCATTGCCCGTAGTTGTGATACTTTTCTCTTCATATAGTTTAATCTTTCTAAAAGTACACTACAACCAGCTTGGTTTCGTCACATTTTAAACTATATCCTTTTTAGTTTGTGCCACCCGTCATTGAGCAGATCGCGACCTCTATTTGCGGCTTAGGGTTATCATCAAACAA